GGGGGGTGGGGTGGGGGGTGGGGGGTGGGGGGTGGGGTGGGTTGCAGTTAGCAATCAGACAGTGCAGACTAGTCGTAGCGATGGCCTCCAACCTACTAGCTCTGACACGCGTTCCGAAGCGATACCGTTCCCGCGTTCCGAAGCGAACTATTTTCTGCGTTCCGAAGCGACTCCCTCGCCTCTCACTTGCACGTTGTGTAGTTGTCTCTATCGGAGGTAGGGCAACACGCTCCCCTCATGTTTCACACATGAGACGTCCGAGTGCGAGAGGTAGTATAGAGTTATACTCTGGTGCAGTGAAAACACAAAAGCAAACAAAGCTTTGACCCAAACAAATTTTTCAAGGCGATGCTTACAGGTTTGTGCAATGTGTGCGTTCATGCCCCTTCCCCAGAACCCCCCTCTCTCTCTCTCTCACTACGACAAGATAAGTAGAAGGCAAAACCTTCTTCGGAGACATTTTTGTCCCACAGCACAGCCTGTGGCTCCAAATCCTTCACCAGAGCCTCGCGCAGCTGCAAAAGTGGGTTGCTGCCAAAACACGAAAATCGCAACGTTCTTGACACTTGGCCGGGCCCTCATTTCGCGCGAGGGGCTTGCCGGAAACCAGTTGAAATCGCAATATTCAGACAGTTTTTGGACGCTTGGCACGCGTTGCGTGCGAGAGGGTTGCCGCGGACCAGTTGAAATTGCAACGTTCCCGCAGTTTTGCACTTGACCCTCATCGCAAGGGTTGCGTTTCGTGGTGACTATCGGCACCACCCCGGCCTAAGCAAGAAAGACAGACAAACAAGAACAAGAAAAACAAGAAAAAGAACATACTGTAAAAGAAAAGAAAGACAAGAAAGACAGATAGACGCGAGAGAGAGAGAGAAACAGAAATTCAAATGTGAAGATGCGCCTGTCTCGATATGATTCGATATGTACGGATGTCAAGATGTGTGAGATGTAAAGTGTGTGAAGATGTACAGGTGTAGAAGACGCAACTCTGGGTCTGTGTAGATTGTAAATGCAAGTTGTGATGATATGTAGTAGTGCTCCTGCTTGTTTAGAAAACCTTTCGTTCAGGCGCTCTCGGGAACTGTTTGGGGTCTATGCTATGCTGGCGTAGGTGTATACAACTGTATATATCTGTATATACAGTCTTTTTAATTTGGGAGGTGTCTGAGTCTAAATTGAAATCGTTATATCATTCCTTATTACTGATCCTTTTTGTACATCTTTATTTGGTCCACCTTTTCATCTTTTTATTTCTTTGATTGATTTGATCCAAGTTGTGTGACTGCTTGTGACCATCTGAGACCTTCTGTGGCTCAGCAAATTCTAACGGGCTCGAGTCGTCTGGGGCCTGCGCTGCCTTGAAAGCGCAGTGCCTGGGCGGACGCAGCTTCTCCAATGTGAGCACTTCGCTGACTCATTTCTTTGGTTGTTTGCGATATGGTGATCATTCAGATTCAAATCGGCAAAATAAGGATGATCCAGACTCAATCCTAACACGTTTGAGCAGTCTTTGGGGGCCCGCAGAGAGATAGTCTTTAGGGTGGCCGAAATGATCTTCCCAGTCCCTGTCGGTTGCCTGCGGCATGGCGCCAAAGGCACATCCTGTCCTTGCTGTCCTAGGAAGAGCCCTGCAACCGGTGTTGCTGAAATTGCACCTTGCGTCTTGATATCTCAGCACTACGGCCACAATGTCTCACAAATGGCAGAATTGTCCTGGAATGCTGGTGGCCTAGAGGAGGTGAAGGATCCATGTCGTCAACGGCCCTGTGTTTAGTCTTGCAGTCCGTTTCGTGCCAAGGTCTTCAGAACCAGAAAGCAAAAATAAAAATGCGAAGCTCTGATCCGATGTCTTGAAACACTTTAGCAAATGCTGCGGACAGCGCCACATCTGGACAAACTTAAGCGCTCTCTTGCGCCAACGCGCACAGGTCATGTTAATGTGAACAGTAAACGGCATCATTCAGAACCACTTCATGTCATGCAACTGGATCTTCTCTCTTTGCTGTTGTCCAATGCGACCAGGCAGTCCCTTCAGGACTGAAGCTGGCACCTGTACACCCGAGAGCGGGAACCCAAATTGAAAGCAGTCTGCTTCCTCTGCAACGTCAACTCCATGCGGGTGATTGGCGGCTCTTGAATCAGGGGAAAATCCCGTCTTGTTGGACTCGGCTAGGTCAGAACATGGTCGCGTAGCAAAACCTCCTCTATGGCAAGCTTCTCTGCCCATGACATTTGGAAGGGGGCGTTCCTCATCTATTGGATTCTTTTGACCCTTCTGCGCCGAAGCCACGCACTTTGGGCCGCTCCATGCTCAGAATGCTGGCTGTTGGCTTTGGACCTGCCCGGGCACTGCTGGTGTTCGCGCGGAGTATTTTCTGACACACACAAGCGCGGCGTGAGCGTGTAAAGTTTATTCCTGAATCATGTCTGGGCATGAAAGGTGAACTTGGATTTACTTAAGGAACCGGGAAAAGTCTCCAGAAGGGGGATTCATCCATAGGGTGAAAGCAAAACATACTGTGACCTTCAGGATAACTAGGCGAACGTAACACATGAAACAGCCAAAACATTGCAACACCCAAATGGTCACCTGGCACAAACCTGACCAGGAAGACGGACCTACAGCAACATATGACTGCACGATGAACATTACTATTACTAGCAACGAGGAATAAAAGGACCGGATAACCCCACATGTTAAGGTTGTGAGAACTAGCAACGAGAAGTAGAGACTGAGACGGTAAAAGTGAATGAGATGAGTGATGTGTGATGAGTGGTGTGTGATGAGTCGTGTGTGATGAGTGGTGTGTGAAGAGTGGTGTGTGATGTGCTACAGCCACTTCAAGACAATCCCAAGAACACGTACTGAGCTCCAAACCTTGCTGACATCGTCATGATAGTGCGCACCACCGAAACGGCTGCAATGCCACAGAAAGAGAAGACTGATAAGAAGGACGGAAAGATACTGGACGATCAAAGTGGATGAGATGAGTGGTGTGTGACGAGTGGTGTAAGATGAGTAGTGTGTGACGAGTGGTGTGTGAAGAGTGGCGTGTGATGAGTGGTGTGTGACACAGTGGTGTGTGATGCGTGGTGCCTCCCTTTCGACTTCGCTGCAGTTCACACGTGCGCTGCTGTACATATGCGGCAGTCACAGGCAATGTCGAGGCACTGCCATGCAATTAGTTCACCAAGCGCTGTGCCTGCCACACAAACGGGCGCCGGCCCAGTGGCGACCACGCGCTCCGGGAGGCTCTGTGTGCTGCGCCTGCTGGCATCAACAAAATGCTGTCAGCCTCCAGGTCCAGATTGACCAAAATCTCACAGCTGCCCTGCAAGGTCAAAGTCTGGCGTCCGTAAGTCTTTAGAATCGCCCACTGCACCAATGCCCCAGTTTGTCATCACCGCAAGTTTGTGGACAGCGCTTGCTTCTCTATTGGTTCTGGTTGTCTTTCCGCCCTGGCAGATCCCCTGAAGAGTTCGACCGCGTGCAAGACTTCCACGAGCAGAATGCAAACATCTATGCGTGCTTGACTGCGCAATGTGGAGGCCCGAGGGTCTCGGCGGCGCCAAGTTGTCTTGTCGAAATGATAGAAGTGGTGCTTTGTGTTTGCAATAAGGAGAAAAACAATCTCGAGAAAAGGGGCCGCATACTTCGTATATAATTACACAGGATGAGTTTACGCAGGAAGATGCGGGAAAAGTATCGTATGTTGACTTGGCCCTTACACGAAGCTCGACTGGACAAGCTCTGCGTAAGGACCGTGGACTTTCGCGGAGCACGGGGGCAAAAACGCGAACACCGAACGACGTTGAGTTTTATCCTCCCTGTGAGGGCCCCGGACTTTGCCGGGGTCCTTACGCAATCGCCGCTGCGTTAGCGCACCCGCCGTACTTGGCCCCAGGAGTTTCAGCGTTTGATAGGAGTTTCCTGGTGTGAGAACAGCGTCGAAGCAAAAGATATATCGCGATATATCGAGTGATTTGCAAAGCATTGGGTCATTCGGAGTTGGGCAGACTTGATGAAGATGTGGCCGGGAGAGGCCGTGCCCAAGCTACGACAGGGCTGCAACGACAGCAGGGGCCTTGTGTCTCTTCATGAGAGGCACTGCATTGCATTCTCACGCCCACGGGCATGTGTGTTGGAATTCGTTTGGAGGCTCCTTGGATAGGAGCAAAGACGGACAAACTTCATGAAATATGCTGTCAAAACGTTGGGATACCACTGCTACACGCGAGTCCTGACCAGGAAGCATTGTGGGTTGCCTCAGTGCAGGCCTCGAGTTTACATTGTCGCCATGCAGGCCGATTCCCAGCGCAATGCGTTCAAATGGCAAAAGAAAATTGAATTGCCCAACAAAGCCCTAAGCATTGCTTGGACTCGGACACCAGCGAAGTGGGTCAGGAGGTGTTACCATTGCCCCTTATGAAGCGAAATATGGCATGGACAACGTTCCGCAGAAGGGGTGCATCCTAGTCCTAGACGTGCGCGCGCGCGGCTACTGCGTCCCAAAGTTGAAAAGGCGGCTGCAAGTCGCAAAACTTTGGAATCTTCAGGTGTTCCGAAGAAATCGATTACGATGATGGCAAGACAAACATGTGACAAGCCTTGAACGATTCAGTGTCCATCAGCGTGATTGGAGAAAAGCGCCCCTTGCTGCTTTGTATTCGATTGGGGCGATGGGTCTGGGTAGGAAAAGCGATTAAAACTGTGGCAGTGACCTGGCGGGGACGAGCGAACCAGCGGTCTTACTATGAGGTCTGCCGTATTGAGTTTTCAGTTTGGGCAGTTGTCACTTGCTTGGACAAATGATGCTGCTCGAAAATTGGAATGGAATTCCACATCAAACTCGTAACACCACTGGCAGAATTAGGGGGCAACGCGTGAATGCAAACTTGCTGCCCGTTTTGGTACAACATATAATATGTCGCCCAAGGGGGCGAAAGCGGATTTGGCGGAGGGCGTGATGCCGAACTGGTCCAGGTGATTCCAGGTAGAGGTTTTCCAACGCAAAAACAAGGCAACTTGCAATAACCAAATATAATAGGGTCAACAAGCCGACAAACACACTTCGTCATGTGGAACTGAGTCTACGAGGCAGAGTCCGAATACAGAATTAATTATAGGATATTATAGGCAACGAGGCAACGAGAATGATATCAAGGAATTCTTTTGCCTTTTCGCCTGACCGCTGCCGAAGCTTCAAAGAGAGCTAGAAAGGCAAAAGAAAATTGCCAAGCCTAAGCAGTGAAACAACAAATAAAAGGCAATTTCTGAGGGAAATTGCAAAAAAGAGCAACTGCAAGCACCTCTGAAGAAAGCTACGGTGGACGCCACCACGAGCAGTGCTTCACATGATGTCAACTTGTTGTACTATGTTGTACTACCATGCAGCGCAAGAGGATATACGTGCTATACCGCTGAAGCATCTCGGGCCCAAGCTTGCGGAAGAAGCTGCTTTACCCATTACAGAAAATACCACGATTGGGAAGGTGGCAGCCGAGCAGCCAAGGCACGTACATGTGCGTCATCAACCTGTCTAGGTTGGACTTTGCTCGCTCGAGCTGCCCCCCGCCAGCCATCTTGATTCCTGAAAGACCTTCACTTGATGAGCCTGTCAAATCTGCCAGCAAATCGCAATTTACCCATCAAAGTTCCCCAACTGGTCGGTCAGTAAGTTGGTTGCTTTGGGGGCTTGAAAAGGTCGAAAGAATGGGGCGTGTTCGAGCCCTAAGAACACCAAAGAAAGAAAGCTGAAAGAAACACCAGCCCTGCAGGTTGAAAACTGGTTCCGCGCCACCATGCCGCTTCATGGTGGTGCTGGCTGCTGCGGGATATCCATGGTCGTGTGCGGTTTGGAGCTTGGGTGTTAGGGCCGCTGCAAGGCGCCGCTCCACTGGAACTGGGCACGTGCTGCGAGATGTCCATGGGCGTGCTCGGGGGCCACTGCAGGGCTGCTGCTGCTGCTGCTGCTGCCCACAAATATGTTTGCCATTTGGGGTCTATAATCCCGAGTACCTATTAAAAAGCACCCCCCAACGGAAACTCCTAAATACGGCGTATATATGTATTTAAATTGCCGCTGTTTAAAACCGCTACTAGACTACCAACATGGTCAACTTTGGCTGAGTTTTTTCAAAAACAACCCTAACTGCCCAGCAGGTTTTCCTTCCCCCAATGGCACGGATGCACGCAAACGCACTTGCCACCGAGGCCGCGCAAAACGGCATGGCATAGCAACATCACCTTTCGAAAGCTTTAGTTGTTAGTCTAATGAAGAATCATTATCTTAATAAAGGTTTTTGTCGAGGGAGAAGGAAACCCCTTCGATCTGGAGTTTTGATACGCGTTTAATAACGGATATTGACATTTGTATAACACTTTCCTGGGTGACTTTTCGGTTTTGAAGCTCTTCCCAGGTTTCTGCATGAAATCTGCACTTCAAGCTTCACAAAGCGCTGTGCCTGCCAGGAAATCTGCTTTTATATGTAATCAATGATTATTCACAAGGATCCTCCCCCTGACCCTATTTTGGACAACCCCTATTTCAGCCCTATCAAAAATGATTCACCCAAATTACTTACAGTAAAACAAGGGGGGGCCCGTGCTTTTAATAAATGGAAGGGAGTACTGGCATGATTGATACAAAAATATACAGCAGCAAAAACTTCACCCAAAAATGCTCACATTGTCAGTGCCTCAAGACCTCATCCTGGAAACTCAAAGGCGTCTCATCCTCGTCCGCTCGCAACCTGGAAGCAAAAAATGCCCCTGCTTCTGACGCATTAATCCGAGCAAGTGCAGCAAGCCTGAGCCAAGCGGGTTTCTGCCAGCTTCATGCGCTCTAGATCCTCGCGCTCGATCTTGCTCAAAGCCTGAAACAAAACCAGAGTATATACAATATGAACTGGACCTGTTATATAATCCGATTCTGCCTTGTGAAAACAGGCGTGAAGTAAGCAAACATGCCACCTCATTGCGAGCACGGAGAAGTGCTTGTCGCCTGGAGCAGGTTGACAGCTCAACCTGATCTGTCCCTACATCAAATCTCTGTCAGTGACTAGTGACTACAGTATAGGAGCAGCTTGCGTTTCAATGGATCACTCCGGGCCGTAACTGTGCAAGAACTGCTTTTGCAGTCCGGGCCTGAATGATGGCAATCCATCAAAGCTGGCTTTCAGCAGTTCGTTATGCTCCACCATGCTCCTCTGTACCAGGCAAGTGTTTTGAATTGCCTGTGTGCCCAAGCTGGCATTCAGGACCTTGGCCAACCTTTTGCTCGCTCCATCACCTGAGTGACATTCGGCATCTTCAGCCTCGCCCTCGTATCTCAACAGCACCCCGATCATCCCTGATCCATTATACTTTGCAGCTGTGCTGCCACGTCAAAGCTTTGACACTTCATGATTTCCTGCTCGACCCGCTTGAAGATGCCAATGGCAATGCGGAAAAACACCTGTGACACATGCAATGCAAGTGAACACATTCCCCAAATTTGTTCAGGGTCAGGCCCCTGCACCTTGAAGCCTTCGAAAAAGAGCGTGTCCCAAACACGCAGCACAGTAGAAATGGGCAGGCTTTTGGCAAACCAGGTCAGGAACCATTCTGAGCCTGCAGCCAGGCAATGACAAGAACCAAGTTCAATGCCACAGCAACCGAATCAAGTTCCCTCGAATGGGTGTCGGGCAAATCGACAGCAAGTCGACGTGCAATCGATTTAGCTCTTTGGCCACCTTGGACGAAACATGTAGAGTCCAGCTCGGAAGCATCCATTTCAGCTTGGCAAGAAGCTGAGGGTAGCTGAGCCGGGCTCTTTTGGGCAATATGCTTGCAGGAAGGATGCTAAAACTTGCATATCTGCACGGAGTAGTACCATGCCTGCAGCCGTTACCCCAAACATGGGGATGCGGCGTGCAATTAATAAAGCATTCATTCACAAAACTGTGAGAATCCGGATCAACATCCACACTGTCTGCACTAAAGCAACGGCCAGGTACAAAAGCGCCTACCATGCTCAAGTTATCCTCTCCAAAAGGTGTTCTCTTGAAACCTTTGACCTAACATGCCCAAGCCCAAGCCTTCTGTATAGTAGCTCTCCACGCCCAAAGCATCAAATGCACAAACCAATGTCCAAAACGCCTGCTCCTAGTGCCCACAAAAAAACACTTGAGGCGACGGAGGTGGATGAAAGGTAGAGGTTGGAAGATTTTGAGCAGGAGCAAGCAGCCAGCAGCAGGAGCAGCAGCAGGATGGTGGCCATCACTTGACTTTCCAGCAATAGAGGACGGTGCAGGTTTCACCTTGGCTGCCTGCGCAATACGCGGTGGAGGTTTCCTTCCTACTGGTTGAGTAGGAGCCTGCTCCATCTTAGGTGTCACTGATTTTGGTTCCTCAGCGGCTGGTATGTAGATATGCTGAACATTTTTGCCTTTCCGAATCTTACGGGTAGGTGTAGCGCCCGCTTTGACAGGGTTTCGAGTGCTTGGGATGGGGACATGTACTAATGAATTTGAGCCTTGTCAACTGTGCCCTTGCCTTTCATCAGTGCATTCATGATGCTTGTTTTCTTGCTCTGTGTGTCCACACTCATAGGCAAGAACATGCAAACTACGTCTCGAGATCGAGCGCTCAGTCATATGTTCAGCCACTTTCTTTAGCTTTAGCACTCGCTCGGGCTGCTGCCGCCAAAGAACCTTGACCTGACGATCCACTTCCGGTTCTTGAGCAGGGGGGCAGTTTAGTAGTCACATGTTTCCCTGGCGCGTCTAGGCAAGGGACAGCATCATAGACACCATACTTTTTCAGTCGGTCAAGCTCCTTACCGCTCTCTTCTGTCCACTTCTGGTCAGTCCACTGTCCGGATGACCACTAGTCCCGGCAAGGGTTGCCCATGGTTGCCCAAGCTCTCTTCGGGCTACAGTATTCACATCCGCATGACTGTCAACAAGAAGTTGAAGCACATCGGGGCCTCCCTTGGTCCCTCACGGTGATGGCAGCGGACTGCCTCGTCCAGCGATTCCCGCCTGCTTGGCGGTCGTATTTCAGCATCGTAGCCGGCAAGGTCCTTGGTTCTGGAAGGCCTCCACCAAATCCAGGTTCGATGCATCTCAAAACATCGCAAACGGGAATCATGAAGCTTCGTCGTCGGATGGTCCGACACTTTTGGACGCAGCTTCGCGTGCCCATTTTCTGGCGTCTCTCGCCCCGCTTCTTGCGCCTACTGGCTGGCAACGGCTCCATGTACAAGACCATTTCACCAAACATAGCACATCTGGCACAGGTCCTCAAAGCAAGTCTTCCCACTGGCTTTCACATGGAAGCGGTGGTGCAGCCAAGCCAAATGACGAATAAGCCACGACCAGATCAACATGGAAGAATCAAGCTCGAGCCCCTTCAGCTCCGAAGCGATGCGGATGCTGGCTGCGAACAATATGGCCCTCTCTGCGCACCCTTTGGCCTGGGAGGAGTGCACAAGGGCCTTGTGTCCCCACTGTTTCTTGACAGCGGCAATGCGGAGCTTCTTTTGTGAGGGGGGGCGAATGTCGCATATGCATGCAGGATCAGTGCTGGGAAGAACTTAGGTGATCCCTACTAGTACCCTACGACCATCTTTGTCCGAGCTAGCTGCGTCAAACCAGTCCTCAAGCGAGATTCGGCTAAGGTTAAACTAGGCTCACCTAAATACATCCAACCCGAAGTGCAGACGGTCTTTTCCATGGCCCCGGACGACGCTTCGCACCGCGGCCTTGAGCGTGCGTCAGGTCATGCAAGACCTGTTCCACGTCAAGCGGAGGAGTGCGAGTGCTGAGCTGCGGCGGGGTTCGCCCGCAACTTGGATTTGTCACCCCAAACCAGGCCACCAAGCAGCTTCAAGCGATCTTTCAGGTCGGCAACACGGCTGTTCTTGTTCAAAGACGGTGGCTCAGGAACGTCCACTGCCAGCCCTTGGCACCTTCTTGTCTGGGCCCTTCGTTTGGAACTCTCTGGTCGCAAGCCATCCGGCTCCAAGCACAAGCTCCGATGCTAGCTCCTCCAGTCCAAACCTTTCTGGACGGAACAGCTCATCCCTGGGATGAATGTGGTGTCTTGTCACTTTTCGCTTGTCTGCGGAGACTTCCAAATGGTTTTCCTCTTTAACTCCAGCGACGAAAGTCCACCCATCCTGTGCCACCATGGAGGCATGCCAACAATTGCGCCAGTTCGATTGTGATGGTTTGCCTGCCTTTGGTCGTCCGTCTTTCCAGTACCCTTTCCTTTGGCTTGCTATTCTTCCTTCCTGGCTTTCTTCTTCTGACAGGCATGGCCGTTTTTCAGTTGTCAGCTTTTCGTTCTTCTTCGATGTGGCACCTTCACGCTCTGCAGTCTCCTCAAACAACTGGGACCTTGGATGAAGGAGGTGACCGGGCGCGAGGCCGTTTGGAAGGAAGTGGACTTGGTGAAGATGGCGAAGGCTCAGGAAGAAGAAGACTGGGAAGATTGAGGCCAATCAGCTGAGTTTGGGATCGGACTGCTGGATTCAGGATCGTCCTTGGCAGCTGGTTCAGCTGGGCAAGCCATGGACTTCTGGGTGAGGCTTTTGGTAAGCTTTGCTCATGGCTAATTGCATACGTCTACCTTAGGCACACTCTTGGATTGGCCCAAGGTTTCGAAAAACAGTGAGCGTGCGACAGCCGTTGGGCACCAAACCTGTCTCGGGACTTTGGTTATGCTTCTCCAGGAGTGTGTCCGTTCTACCAGCGTTCTCATGGTTTGTGCTTGGGCCGTGTTTGCGCTTCAACTGTGTGCGGGGTGTGTTGGTAGGTTGGCTTCTTACTTCTACAGGGTTGTGCCTGCTGCGTGGTGCTGGTTTGTTCGAGCCAGTCATGAAACTCGTAGAATGAGAACCGCTTGCCGCTTGAACAATTTTAGACAATGCAATTCCTACCTGTGCAGCACAAATCAAAATATAACGTATGGCTCAACAAGGGGGTGAACTCAACTGACAATTGGAAACTGGCGCGCAGGTTCTACGTCGTCAAACACGGCAAAGAAACACAAGGACCCAAACTCCAAGCAAAGACTACAAGGAGCAACTTAGTCATCTTAGTCGGGAAGGCTCACCACCTTTGGGCCTCACTAAGCCAAACATATTGTCGGTTAATGAAGCACTTTTTCTAGCAAGCTGGCCACCAGCAAAAGAATGGGATCTGACCCTGGCCACTTCAGGCAGCAAGCACCAAAAAACAAGATCAAACCCACGAACCCGAATGCAAACACGATCGAAAAACTACATATGTCCAAATGACACTCTTGTAGGACACTCTTGTGGAACACTCTTCTGGGACACTCTTGTAGGACACTCTGGTGGGTCACTCTTGTAGAACACTCTTGTGGGACACTCTTGTAGGACACTCTTGTGGGACACTCTTATAGGACACTCTTGTGGGACACTCTTCTGAGACACTCTTGTAGGACACTCTTGTGGGTCACTCTTGTGGGACAGTCTTGTGGGAAACTCTTGTGGGACACTCTTGTAGGACACTCTCGTGGGACACTCTTGTGGGACACTCTTGTAGAAAACTCTTGTAGGACACTCTTGTAGAACACTCTTGTGGGACACTCTTGTAGAAAACTCTTGTGGGACACTCTTGTGGGACACTCTTGTAGGACACTCTTGTGGGACACTCTTGTGGGACACTCTTGTAGGTCACTCTTGTAGGACACTCTTGTGGGTCACTCTTGTAGGAAACTGTTGTGGGACACTCTTGTAGGACACTCTTGTGGGACACTCTTGTAGGACACTCTTGTGGGACACTCTTGTGGGACACTCTTGTAGGACACTCTTGTGGGACACTCTTGTAGGACACTCTTGTGGGACACTCTTGTAGGACACTCTTGTAGGACACTCTTGTGGGTCACCCTTGTAGGAAACTCTTGTGGGACACTCCTGTAGGACACTCTTGTGAGACACTCTTGTGGCACACTCTTGTGGGACACTCTTGTGGGACACTCTTGTGGGACACTCTT